CAGGAGTGCTGTACGAATACTAGCGTTGCCCTCAAATTGTAATTCCAAACGTTACTGGTGCCTCTGCGCTGCTTCTCCTCGCACTAGGACGAAATCCCACCGCTGCCACCACTGTGACGGAACCGCTGGCACCCTGACCGGGTACCTTCCGCCGACGGATGCTCCTAGTGCTTTCCGAGGACTCCAAGCACTCTGCCCGACACCATAACCACTGCAGACCCCACGAACCGCCGCAGCTTGGTTGGGGTCTCGCCGTCTCCACCCACTCTGGACCCAAGACCAGGGTCCAGCTTCCAGTAGGTCGACCTCTCCAAATTCCAGAGAGCAGGAACAGGAACAAGCTCTTAGCAGAGCTTAGTGATTATACCCTTAGTGATTATAGGAATCCCCAGAGTGTAGTTTCTCTGGGAAAGAAACTGTCTTGAGAAGCCAATAAGCCCCAAATAGTCTTTTTAAATGGCAATACACCCCAGGGCCATAGTCATGAGGAAGGAGGCTGGCAATCAGGCTCCTCCAAAAGCCGGGGGCAAAGGGCAGCTTGTCACCTAACAATCCAGGGACAAAAGGCATTTCGTCACAAGGGGCTCTGAGGACAGGTGTCAATCCATATCTGCCAAGTGACCCTATGTAGGGGGAACAGTCTCTATTCTGCTCTGTGTCAGTGTGTATCATGGTCCCTGAGGACAGGTGTCAATCCATATCTGCCGAGTGACCCTATGTAGGGGAGACAGTCTCTATTCTGCTCTGTGTCAGTGTGTATCATGATCTCTGAGGACAGGTGTCAATCCATATCTGCCAAGTGACCCTATGTAGGAGGAACAGTCCCTATTCTGCTCTGTGTCATTGTGTATCAGGGATCCTTAGGACAGGTGTCAATCCATATCTGCCAAGTGACCCTATGTACAGTCTCTATTCTGCTCTGTGTCAGTGTGCATCATGGTCTCTGAGGACAGGTGTCAATCCATATCTGCCAAGTGACCCTATGTAGGGGGAACAGTCTCTATTCTGCTCTGTGTCAGTGTGTATCATGGTCTCTGAGGACAGGTGTCAATCCATATCTGCCAAGTGACCCTATGTAGGGGGAACAGTCTCTATTCTGCTCTGTGTCAGTGTGTATCATGATCTGTGAGGACAGGTGTCAATCCATATCTGCCAAGTGACCCTATGTAGGGGGAACAGTCCCTATTCTGCTCTGTGTCAGTGTGTATCAGGGTCTCTGAGGACAGGTGTGAATCCATATGTCAAGGTGTCAATATGTCATATGTCAGGTATCAATCCATTGTGATTTAGGAATGTTAGGTGATTTCTGCCCTTTATGGATTAAGACCAGACTCTGCATCAACTGTGCAATTTTCCATGGGAGTTTTGCCATGGATACCCCTCCGGCATGCCACAGTCCAGGTGTTAGTCCCCTTGAAACAACTTTTCCATCACTATTGTGGCCAGAAAGAGCCCCTCTGTGTTTTAAAATTCGCCTGCCCATTGAAGTCTATGGCGGTTCGCCGGTTCGCGAACATTTGCGGAAGTTCGCGTTCGCGAACCGAAAATTTCGGGTTCGCGACATCACTATCAGAGAGCAGGAACAGGAACAAGCTCTTAGCAGAGCTTAGTGATCATACCCTGGGGAGTATAGTGATTATAGCAATCCCCAGAATTAAGTTCTCCAATCCCCCAAACATGAGCCAAGGCTTCAAGAAAGGTACAAGATGATCTGATTTTAATGACCACACACTGGCTTTTATGCAAGTCCCTATGCAAGGGGACATCCCACAGGGTGGGACACAGTACAACCAATCGTTTACAGGAAAACCGTAAAACACACCCAGCACCAACATACAATCCCTCCCCTCTGCCTGTGATATAATTACTGAACACTATGGGTTAATGTAATTTATCACAGGCAGGAAAAATACACTTTTTACACATATACTGTAACTTTAAAAATATGCATCATATTCACATAAAACATACATATTCAGAATCAGCATACTTTAAATATAAACATAACCAAAAATCATGCAAATCCTTCTATTAGTTCAAAAGTTAGTTGGAAGTACTTTGTGACCAAAGGAAGCATGGCTTTTCTGCCCAAAACCAGTTCCACATAGTCTTCTATCCTGGAGATAATTGGGAAGTAATCCAATTATCTCCAAGGACAGAGGCAAAACTCCATTTAACACATGGCAGCAAAAAAACAATAAAAGACATAAAATTACACAATGTTACAATTACTACATAAAACTTATACATGCAACATATCCCCAGATAGCTTAGATCTGAGCGCACATTATTACGAAATGGCGTTCAGATCACATACAGTGCAATCGCCATGGAGCCAAAGTCTTTTCCATAGTCTTTTGTTACACGAGTAGGCTCCATGGCATAGCTATCTGTGGTAGCACTACTTCCATACTGAAAGTCCAGAACGCCCCGGCAGAAATACACAAATAAACCTTTCTGCAGGGGAAAATACAGCTATCAGCACATGGACCATAGTCGGAAGGTAGGAGGCGAGCCAGTAGTCCCCTGCAGGCACAAGTGGCGAAGGGCACTTCGTCACAGGGTGTAACCAGGTTAATTTATAAAAGTGGAATAGCGTGGCTAACCACCGAGAGCAATGGATGCCTAATCGTTTAGCTCTGGCTCAAAGGGTCACAATCTGAGGCCATCCTGACAATCTGAGCACATATAAAGACAACAAAGGCGACATGGCACAACAAAAGGGGAAGAACGCCACAAAGGCAGAAAAACAACTTTTTGGGGAATAAATCAAAAAACAATCAGACGGAGATTCTCTCAAGATGGAGGCACCAGCTCCGATGGCACAGAGTGCCCCACTCCAACGGAAATAGATCCAGACCCTGACAAGCTCACAAAAAGTCACTGGATGCACTGTCACAGAAGTTGATTACAACTTGGCAACATTCAATGGACTCATTAAGGAAAGATGTTCAAGAACTGGGTAAAACGACATCACATGTTGAATCTAAAATGGAGGACTTTGCCTCGGCATATAACGATCTGGCCACACACGTGGAACAGAGCAAACAAAAGCTCACCGCTACTGAATTGAAACGAACTGACCTGGAGGATAGTGCACGCAGAAATAATTCGCGCCTCAGGGGGATACCAGAATCCATACTACCAGAAAACCTACAAACTTATGTTAGAGGCCTCATTATGTCCCAGAGATACCAGCGGATATGTTACTCATAGATAGAGTGCATCGGCTTCCAAGGCCAAGATTTTTGCCTGAAACAGCACCCGAGATGTCTTGATGCGCATTCATTACTATCATATAAAAGAGCACATATTGCGAGTGAGCCGCAACAAAGTGAAACCGCAGGCAGACTTCCCAGAGATTAAAATATTTGTGGATCTTTCGACCTCCAACTTGCGCAGGAGGAAAGACTTCTCACAATTAGCCAAAACATTGCGGTCCAACGGCATCAGATTCCGCTGGGGTTTCCCAACAAAAATGCTGTTAACAAAAGACGGATCCACACAAGTTATCACTTCACCGGAGGACGGGATAAGAAAATTGCGGCTCTGGGGACTCACAGAAAAAGAACCATTTGCAGCTTGAATGGAGAAGAGCTACCCCCACCAAAAAACCCTCACTGACAGACTGCAAGTATAAAACAAAAGCAAGCATGTTGTAACTGCACACAGCATGGACTGATCTCCATGTGTAATACTTGCTAAAAGTTATTAATGTTAATCTGTTTTCTATCTTCCCATCATATGTTTTAAAGCAACCTGTATATTAAGCACATATGGTTAAACTTTCCCATAGTAAGAGACCATGTAAATTACCTGCTAAGGGCTATTGATGTTACTCTATTTTCTACTCTTCCACCTAATGATTTAAAGCAACCTGCATATTAAGCAACATATAGTTCAACTATATTACCTGCTAAGGGTTGTTACAGTTAATCTGTTTTCTACTTTCCCACTAATGAGCTAAAGCAACCTGCATATTGAGCAACATAAGGTTAAATCTTTCTCTAGTAAGAGACCATGTAAACTACCTACTAAGGATTATTACTGGTAACGGTTTTCTGCTTTCCCAGCTAATGGGTTAAAGCAACCTGCATATTAAGCAACATAAAGTTCAATCTCTATATGGTAAGAGACCATGTAAATTAACTGCCTAGGATTATTACTGTTAATCTGCTTTCTACTCCCCCAGCTAATGATGTAAACAACCTGTACTTTAAGCAAGATGTAGTTCACATTTCCCACAGTAAGAGACCATGTAAATTACCTGCTAAGGGTTATTACTGCTAATTAATCTCCACTCTCCCATTTTATGACCCAAAGCAACCTGCATCTTACGCAACATAAATATGCTAAGTGCACCCCACACAAACGCAGGACTCTACTAGCAGGTGCTAAACAAGACAGCGTAGACATTCTTTGTCTCCAAGAAACACTCTTTGCACACTGCAGGGTCCCAGAGTTTGGGAAACAGGAATATACAAGAAACATAGAATGTGACGGCAGATAAGAACCATACGGCCCATCTAGCCTGCCCAATTTTCTAAATACTTTACTTAGTCCCTGGCCTTATCTTATAGTTAGGATAGCCTTATGCCTATCCCACGCATGCTTAAAAGGACCACTCTAGGCACCCAGACCACTTCAGCTTAATGAAGTGGTCTGGGTGCCTGGTCCAGCTAGGGTTAACCCATTTTTTTATAAACATAGCAGTTTATAATGGGGTTAATCCAGCCTCTAAAGTCTCTATTGGCTGTCTCATTGACAGAACCCTCACACACACAGCATACAGACAGCACCCTCTCACACACACAGCACCCACACGCACAGCACACACAACCCTCACACACACACAGCACCCTCACACAAACAGCACCCTCACACACACAGCACACAGCATACAAACAGCACCCTCACAAACACACATAAACACCCTCACCCACATAGCACACTACCAGCACCCTCACACACACACATCACACTAACAGCACACACACACCAGTGTGTGTGTGTGTGTGTGTATGTACATATATATATATACACACACACACACACACACACACACACAGTGTGTGTTTGTGCTTTCGGGGCACACCCTAATTCAATAGGCTGCGCATGCCTATGAATGTAACATAACTAACTATAGCATCAGGAAAGTGAATGTGTTTCTTTCCAGCACTATATAAAACATAACAAATACAGGACTTTGTGAGCATCTTCTTCTGAAAGTTAATTCACATTGTGATATAGCCTTGTGGATGGTTTTATTAGAGTGTTAAAAACCAGAATAACTAATTATGTACAGAACGTTTAATAATATGCATAATGCAGTATTTTATGTATGTTCTGTAAAAAATAAAAAGATAGGATTCAATTTGCATTTTAAAAATGTTGCACGTTTAAATTTGCAACTGAATTATTGTTCACAAATCTTAATAACATTTTTATACCCACATTGCTTGTAAAGGTTGTATAGTGTGTAAATAATTTACAACTACCTTTTTATTTAATTGTGCATTGTTTTAAAACTCAGTGGGTGTGTAAAATGTTTAATGAGATTGCGTATAAATTCTAATGTCAATCTCAAGAGCAAGTTAAAAATAATACATGTTCCCAGAGACGTATCTTCCGCAAGGCAAACAAGGCATCTGCCTTGGACGGCTCTTTGCAGGGGACGAAAAAAAAAAAAAAAAAAGCTCAGGCAGATCCCTTGTTTGCCTTTTGTCCTGGGGGGCTCAAGAACTGGGCCACTTTTGAGCCCACCCGAGGCAGGTGGCGGGATGCAAAGGAGCATACTCACTTGAGCTCTTCATGCTCAGCTCCCTCGCGCACAGCTTAATGAAGCCGGGAGCTGGAATATGACGTCACTCCGGCTCCCGGCATCACTAAGCGGCGTGCGAGGGAGCTGAGCAGGAAGATTAGAGCTCTCTCGCAGCCTACTCTGCCTGTCCAGCCCCTGCCTGCCCCCACAGTAGGTACGTAACCCACTCCAGCTCTCCCAGGGAGGCTGGGTGGATTTAAAATAAAATTAAAAAAATAATAATTTGTGAGTGTTGGTGGAAATGTTTGTGTAAGTGTGTATGTAGCGGATGGCACTGGGCTGTCCTGCAAATGTCGGTGAAATAATTGCATTCGTGTGATCTGTTAGTTTCCTATGTGTTTTAAAGCCTTGTATTCTTGTGATTGTTCGGTAGTTTCGTTCCCTTAGTTTATTCGAATGAAACTACCGAAAAACCAGACCTCCCCTGTGTGAAGTGTGTCCTCAATTACCCGTTGCAACATTGTTGCAACGGGTAATTGAACAGTAAGTAGCCGTCCTTTGTTCTCGGGGGTGGCCGCCATTCGACAAACGAACACGTGGCGGCGGCCATTTTAAAACTCCCGAACAGCGGTGTTTAGCCGTCGAGTGTCTGGAACTAAAATCGGACACTCGAGTAGGCGAACACCGCTGAGACCTCCACAGCCCTGGTCCGTTCGGTTCCAAACTACCGAACGGCCCCTCGTTCGGTAGATAGAGAATACCGAACGAGGGGATTCAGGCGAACCCTCCCTAGCCTCTATAGCTAGAGGTTTTCGTGTATTTTATTCCCTTATGCCAGGACCGACCGCAGGGCCCATTCACATGGAACCGAATTCGGCTATCTCAGTTCGTGCGGTCGGTCATTTTATTCCCTCCATACTTTTCCCGAACCCCTGGTCTGATCTGGGTGGTTTTTGGATATGTTGCTCACCCAGATCAGGGCTACCAGGGGATGTAGGATTTAAAGAGGTACCCCTACATTTAGGGGTACATCCAGAAACGGGGGGAATTGGTGTACTGGATAAGGGGATTATGATGCTGACTGAGGGGAGGAGATGTGTGGGAGGTTACCAGGACAGGATTGGCTACTGTAATAATTACTGTAATCCCTCCCTTGCATGGGAGCATGCTTTATAAGGAGACTGTGATTAAAGGCTTGTCAGTTCTGCTCCTGAAACTGTGTGTCGTCCAGTTATTGGGATTGCTGTGGGGAGATTGCTGTTATTTTACCTGCTGGAAACTTTGCCTATGGATTTATTATTTACTTGTTCCTGAGCCTCACTTGGATTATAAGCGGAGACAACCTGGGGAATATTGCATCTCCGCTACATTGGTTGGCAGCGCTGGGATCCAGACTCACAAGGGAACAAGGACTAATGGAATACGGATGGAGAGTGATTATGCCAAGCTTAAAAGATCCACGCTAAAAGATCTCCTAGAAGCGAAAGGCACTGCAGCCAGCAACAAAAAGAAAGCAATCCTCATTGCAGAAGTGATGGCTGAATACCAGCAGGAGGACAGGGTAATCCCTGAGCAACAGAGTGCAGCAGATGGAGCTGAAAAAGAAGAGTTCCGGAGAGAGGTGCAGTTCAGGCTGTCCTTTTATGGAGAGAATCCAACAACGGATATTATATCCAGGACAATGTCAGAGGTACAGGAGTTTATACTGCGCCAAAGGCCACTACAGCAGCTGGAGAGGAATGCTACCATAACTACCATCACACAGGGTAAGACAAAAATCCCTTACCAAGCTTTTAAAACCTATATAGAAGCAGAGGAAGATATAGATGCTTTTCTCCAAGACTTTGAAAGGCTGTGTGCCTTGCATAATATTAGCCCAGATGAGTGGGTGCCTATTTTAGCAGGGAAGCTCACAGGGAAGGCGGCAGAAGCCTATAGAACTGTACCTGATGAGGAAATTCGGAATTACCGCCGAGTAAAAGAAGTGATCCTGGCCCGATATGCAATCACGCCAGAGGCATATCGGCGACGGTTTAGAGACCTAAAGAGAAATGACAAGGACTCTCATGTGGAATGGGCTTGCAAGTTGCATCGGCCGCTCTGGGGTGGGTACAGTCTAATAAGGCTCGGTCCATGGAGGACTTATTGCAAATGGTGGTGTTGGAGCAATTCTATGAGGTGGTAACAGGCGAGGTCCAGGAATGGGTGAGGGACAGAAACCCTACCTCCCTTACCGAAGCTGCTAGGAAGGCCGATGAGTACTTGGATGCACGCAGGCAGCAGAAACCAGCAGCCCCAAAAGCTATTTTTAAAACCTTTGGGGGAAACAGCTACAACCCAGCTCCACCGAGGCAACTACCACCACCACCACCCGCTGTACAGCCCCGGTTTCGCCAGCCCGCTTCTGGCCCCTGTCATCACTGCCAGAAGTGGGGACATTATAAAAGGGAATGTCCCCAGCTGAGGGATCGTTCTACCTGGATTCGCCCCGGCCCACCACCACCACCACCGAGAGCAGCCGCCGCCCATCACTACCAAAATATAGTGGCCACACCATATGGGTCAGCTGTTCCCATAACAACCGTGGAACAGTGGGAAGTACTACACGAGGCGGATCCAGTCCAGGCCAATGCTGATAACAGACAGCATCACAGGCAGACCGTATACTTGGAGGGTAAAGCAGTACAGGGCCTACGTGATTCGGGGGCTACCATCACCTTGGTCAAAAGTCATCTGGTCTCGGATGAAGCGAGACTAAGTAAAACTGTGGCCGTCAGGGTAGCCGAGGAGCAGTGTACCGGCTACCTACAGCAAGGGTACATTTACATTGGGGAGCGGGGGCAGGACATGTGGAGGTGGGGTTGATGCCGCAGTTACCGGCGGAGGTTTTATTGGGGAACGATCTGGGGAGGCTCACATCTGCTTTTGAGCCCCAGACGCCCACCACAGGAGAAGCTCATCCTGTGGTCACCCGTCAACAGGCCCGCACCCAGGACTACAACACACTTCCGGAGGTTCAGGTAAGAGACCCTTCCCCTTCCCTTGACTGTGTCCCCTGGGCCCCTCCTAACGAATTTGCAGCAGAGGTAGTGACTGACCCCACCTTGCAGGTATACAGAGACAAGGTGACAGCAGACCCTCCGGGGGGAGGGGGGGAGAGATTTGTCTGGGACAAGCAGCTTTTGTACAGGGAGACAGACAAGCAGATTGAGGGGTCAGACCCAATAGTGACGAGGCAGCTAGTGGTGCCGCAGCGGTACCGGGCAGAGCTACTCCGGATAGCGCACGATATCCCGCTATCCGGACATCTAGGGGTCAGCCGTACTAGGTATCGACTGACCCAAAATTTCTTCTGGCCAGGGATCAGCCAGGAAGTGCGCCGGTATTGCACCACCTGCGACACCTGCCAGAGAGTAGGGAAAAGGGGAGACCGGAGGAAGGCGAAGCTACACCCCTTGCCAATAATTGAGGAAACGTTTAGCAGAATAGCGGTAGACTTGATAGGTCCCCTCAAGAAAGCCAGCCCGTCAGGCAAAAGGTACATTTTAACGGTAGTAGACTATGCTACCAGATATCCAGAGGCGGTGGCTCTGACCAACATTCAGGCTGAAACGGTCGCGGATGCCCTCATGCAGATATTCTCCCGGGTGGGATTACCCAGGGAGATTATCTCGGATCAGGGTACCCAATTTACCGCAGAATTCACCCAACACCTCTGGAGGATCTGTGGCATTAAGCCTATTATCAGTGCTCCTTACCACCCCCAGACTAATGGGCTCTGCGAACGGTTCAATGGCACATTGAAACAAATGCTCCGAACCTTCGCAGAGACCCACAAGGACTGGGAGCGGTTCCTGCCGCATCTCCTATTCGCTTACCGGGAGGTGCCGCAGGAATCCACTGGGTTTTCCCCGTTTGAACTGCTGTTTGGGAGGAGGGTCAGAGGCCCCTTAGATCTTATAAGAGAGCATTGGGAGGGAGATCGGAGCGCAGATGGCACCCCCATCATACCATATGTGTTGGCTCTCCGAGACCGCCTGGAAGCCTTAACCAGGACAGTAAGGGAAAACCTTCAGGCGGCACAGACTCGCCAGCGCACATGGTATGACCGGGGAGCCAGGGACCGTAGCTTTCAGGTCGGGCAGAAAGTGCTAATTTTAAAGCCTGTCTGACATGACAAGCTACAGGCCGCCTGGCAAGGACCTTATAGGGTGGTGGAACAGAGATGTGACACCACCTATATAATTGGCTCCTGTACAGGGACGGGAGGGCGACGCATGCTCCATGTGAACATGATGAAGCCCT